TTTCCTGCATTACGTGAAAAATGGGAATTCCTGTCTGGATTCCGCACACTACTTGGCCTTGGTGATTGGGAAGATTGCTGCGAAATAGTCTGGGGGGAGTAAACTATAGGCATACCTCTATTCCAAACCCTATCGGTAGTGCTAGATGTCAATTCACTAAGAACACAATAATTTATTAGATTCGAATATATTGATATTTATATAAAAGTTTATTCTAACTAGAGAATTTCTTACCGGACAAGGTCATAACCCTCTCTCTGACGACGAGAAGCAAATTCTTGACAGCTTTTTTTGTATTCTCGCAAAGTAGTTTCAAAATTGCGATAAAACTAATATAAAATTGGTTAAAAAAGTTACAAGTAATAAACGACAGTGGAAAACAAATATTTACTTTGATTCCTTCTTGCAAGTTTGTCAATATCTCTCTGAATTTTTGATGTGCTGTTTTAAATTTCTCAAATGATTCAGTTCTTCCAGAGTTCTTCATTGATCTCTCACGTTCTTCTGTTAATTCCTGATATTTTTCCTAAATATAATTTTCTAAAAAAAAAAAAATTCATCGAAAAAAAGCAGTATTTACGTACTTGAATATGATTCAATAATTTTTCTTGATTTTCTGTTTCACTTTTCACAAAATCTTTAAATTTATCATATTTTTTCAACTCTTCATCGAATAATTCCTCAAAGTGTGCCGGCTCGATTTTTATTGCTGTACCATTGGCAGTAATTTTAGCAGCCTCTTTAAGTAATATAGGACCTAAAAATTTTAATAAATTATGTTAAGCTAAAAATTAATACAACAATTTCTCTTAAATTTTTATAATTTTTGATAGGTTTTATACCAATATCATCTAGATTAGAAACTTTTTTAACTTCCTCTTCAGTTTTTTTGCGCACTCCTATATTAGCATGAGCTTCGTTTTTAAGATTCCGTAATTTGTTGTCAAATTCTTTAATGTCTGATTGTACAGATACATCAAAAGAGCTATTTGCTAAGATGTCTTTTTTTAGGATTTCCTATTTTAGATAATTAAAACAACCTTTAATATAATCAATAAAAACGATATATAAATTAAAAGTAATTATCAAAAATATTTACCCTATCAGATCCTAATAACTCAATGAGTTGGCTCCATTGTTCCATTTTATTTTTAATTGCCAAATCACCTTTTCGCGCTTGCTGAAGAACTTCTTGATAACTTAACCCTTGGTTCACTAAATCTTTATTAATTTCATCAGATTTAGCTCTTGTCCATCTTTCACCAAACTTTTTTTCCCATTCTTCATCTTCTATTATCTCTTGGTCTAAAATATTTAATGCCTGTGGAAAACAATATTGAATATTAATTCTAAGATTTTCACCATTCATTCATTAATCCGGGAATTGACGACACACCTCATCTAAAATTTGATTATTACTTGGAGATGCATCCTGTATGCTATCAAACATTGCATTCAATCTTGTTACACCGCCTTCATTGCGAACATCTTGTGAATTTGCAAATATTGATTGTGGAATTATATGGCCTTCTGTATCCGACATTGAACCAGGCACGTTTAAAGACTGTAACGTACTATAATTGTTTGAATTATTAGTTCTTTCAATTATGTACCCATTAAATATCACTTTAAATTTAACAATATATTCAAACCTGGTACAAATGCTTGTTAACTCTTCTAATTTACATAAAATTTCTTTTACCGTTCTTTCTTTACGATCAGAATATACACTATGAGCCTGATGAACTGCAAATGGGACAAGTTTTACAAACAATGGGAGTCCCAAAATAGATCTTTCACTCATCAAAGAAACTGGATTATTGACTTCCGGAGGAAGTGTTGGGTTAGCTAGACTTGCCTGACCAATTGGGGCCAATGATGAAGCCGAGGGAATAGTATGTAAATATATAATATCATTATCTTTCACAGCACGGCTGAGGTTTGAAGTAACAACTGTATGCAGTGACTAAAATAATATTATATTTAATGTAAGAAATTATCCATACATATATAAACTAATAAAAATTTGTGTCAATTAATTATTCTGACCTCTAAATCTTTTATTACAGCTTCCCTTAAATTTTTACGCTGATCAAATGCTCGATTCACGTACCCCTCAGCTACTCGTAATCTTGCAATTTCTTCACCATATTTATTCTGACTAATACATTCACAGGATTTACGAAATTCTGAAGCTGCAGCAAAATGCCAAGATTTTACTTGCAAATGTGTAAGCCAATTCTAAATTTATAATAGAAATTAGTTTGACTAAAAAAAAAAAAAAAAAAAAAAAGGTTTATAAAAGGTTATAATCCATCTAACAAAGGTCATAACATACTTGGCCTATTAACTTTGCAACTTCTGGATTATTTGTCGCTAATTCAAATGCAGCTTCATAATACACAGATACCTGACTTGCTAATTTTGCCACATTTCCATCTTTTAATTTTTCTTATTAAATTAAAAATTAAAAATAAATTATGAATAAACAAAGTAACAAATAATTTCTAATAGAATGAGAAGGGATTCATGTTAAATACCATAAACAGCTTTTTGCCAAAAACATTCTTGAGCTTGTGCTAACATAATATTAATCAGAACATTTAAAGTTGTAGGTGCCATATCTGATGTTGGTAAAATTCGCATTTCCGGTACTACTGCACTATTCAGATGTTTAAAACAACCAGCTGCGTGCTAAATTTAAAAGTTATTTTTGAAAATGGCTTTCAATGTTAAAAAAAATATATAAAAATAAAATAAAATGATGATCGAAAAAATTTTTAAAATTACTTGAAAATGTTGACAAGCTCTTTTAACACCTTCTGGAGTTAGTCTACTTTCCGCAATACCAAGCTTACTATACATGGCACCAATATTAAATAGTACACAAGCCCTCTCATAATAAAAATTTTTATGTGCAACTAAATATGAAGAGTAAAAATAATGCATTTAATCTTTGTTAAAACTTATTTATTTCACCAATAATGAGAATTAATAAACATACCAGGCTTTTTTTCATTATTGGGAAAGGCTGAATACCAAGGAAATTCTATGCCTACCTAAGAACAGGTATAAACATTAAAACAAAAAACTTTCGGCAATATTTAAAGATCGTTTAACCTACGTCAATTGGAAATTTAGATCCAATAAAAACTAGTTGTCCATAATATCTGAAGGATAAGATTTAATCATTGAACAAATTCTGGATTCCAAGATTCTCTTAATGAGATCAAAAAAAAAGTCAGGTAACCCACTTTAACAGCCGATATAGAGCATTTTGGTGTACCTCCAAATTCAAACAGTCAGTTCTAAGTTCGTCAAGAATACGTAAATCGTCAGTGTATATGTCTGGATG